TGGCTGCATAGACATTACCATGGTTTACATCTATAATGTGTGTACTAATCAATTTCCCTGCGAAGGTTCTCGAGAAAGGCACCTCTTTTCCCTTGGGCAGATTTTCTTTGTGTGCTTTGCCATATCCAAATAAATCAATCTAAACTTGCTGTTTGAATAAAAGTTTTGATCGCAGTTTCAGTTAATAGACATTGTAAAGCATTTTATCACCAGTTTTTCGTCCTTATTTCAAAAGCAAAGCATTTTCGTTGAATTGAAATACTAAGAAACAAAAGGGAAAGAATTCTATTGGCTATAAAATTAGGCCCAGAATCATAAAGCAAACCCCATCCTCCAAGACTACCGATTATTTATTTTGCTTACAGTCATTTTAAAACATTTTAATATGTATTTTTCATCTCTGCTTCAAAAGTGAAGTATTTTCAATCTGCTGAAATAGTAAGAATATGAAAAATTTCTAGTAGAAACATAATTCAGCCTAGAATCAAAGCTGAGAAAAACGGCATTGGAAGAAGTAGGCTACTCACCAAATTAGTATGAATTGAAGATTCACCAAATATGCATTTCAGATATAAAAGCCAACATATTTTCACAAGCCTATTTAAAAATATGAAAGTAACGCATCTTTCCGATTATGAAATCATGGTGATTATGAAAACTGGTGTGAATCCCACCAAACTTGCGCCATTGATTCTGGCAGAAATGTGGAGGAACTAATCGCTCTTTGTTTAGTTAGATAATCAAGAGCTACAAGTTACAGATATAGCATAGCCCACAATTATCTTAATGGTTAGAACCTTTAATTAAAAAAATGCATTACTGCATGCTGGGCCGTTTACGAAATATCCCAAAGTTTGATCATTTTGAGCAAATGTGAAAGGCAGTAATTTTTATTCTGAGTCGCAGTCCTGTTTGTGCTTTATGGTGTTTGTAAAAGTCTCATTTGCTTAGATTTTTATTAATTAAAAAAATATTGTTATGAATATTGTACATATGTAAATGATTTTAGTGAAATTGTATGTAAAATTGTGGTATCCGTTTTGTAAACTGTAACATGAAAAACTAAAGAGGCGATGCTTTGCCAGAAAAGTAAGAACACAGGGGAAAGTCTATTTAACATTGAGTAAATGGCTACATAGCTGAATTGGCGAGATATCTCCATACGGATGATGGCTTTGAAGGCTAATTTTTACGGCCAAATTTGGCAAGAAATCGCTAAAAATTGCCAACCTTCGCGATATTTGGTCCGATCATGTATAACTATAATGGGTATTTTAACTGAATAACTGTAATTAATCCTCTATGTAGTTGTAACTGTATCCGAGCCTGATATGTCTTCAAATAATTTCGAAAACTACGAAAGAGTTTTCGGCTGCTGGAGGAAAACTATATAAGACCTGAGAGAACATCAGTTTGGAATAGTAGTAGTTGTTAGTTCAGAGTTGACAGTTGAATTCGGAGTACTGAGATATCTGTGAGATCTTCATCTTTTAGATGCGCTCTGCATTACGTTGTGTTTAACGTTCTTAGTAGTTTGAAGTGTAACTACTGATTTTACTCTGGGATACTGTGAAGAGTTGTAAAACTATTTTTGCTGAAAGCTCCAGAACTGTGAAGTGTTTCCTTTGGTAAATAATTTTTATCAAGCCATCATCGGTTCTATGTGCATTGAATCTATTACGAACCTATACGGAAGCAACAGTTTTTGGTGTCCTCAGTCAGGTAAAATGCCGGTGACCAGAGCGCTGGATCAGCAACTAAGACAGCTGGTGACTGCCTTTGCTGCATTTCAAGAAAAGATGGAAGGGGTTGTCAAGTCAGTTCAAGAAAACATTGAAGCAGGCCAAGAGGAAATGAAAAGAGAAATTACTAACATAATAGAAAACAAATTCGAATCTATGGAAGGTAGAATAGACACGGGTGAAAACAAAGTTGGAGAAACTGAAGAAAAAGGTTTTTTTATGTCAGAGAACAAATCGAAGAGAGATTTCTTGCCGTCGAACAATAGATCGATTACAGAGTTTTTGGTATAGCCGAAGAAGATGACGCTTTAAAGACAATCATAGCCATAGTAGGAAGCCATTCTGACCGTTTCATCTTTACCCATGCCTTATAATCTCTCTCGAAAGCCGTCCACATATGATGGAAAAATCTCCTCTCAAGTGTACAAGATGCAATTCTCTGCAGTAACAAACTCAGATGGATGGAATTCCCAAGCTAATGTTTTCCATCTCGCCACTTCTCTGACAGCAGAGCCAGTGGATATCTTTCAAACTCTTCCCGAAAACCAGAGCCCAGATTTAGAAGCTTTATTTGGCGCGTTGGAGCTACGCTTTGGTGAGAAGTGTCTAAAAGAGTATAGCAGGCATCAGTTAAAATCTCGCCAACAGAAGCCGGTGGAAGCACTCCAGGAGCAAACCGCAGATGTAGAACGGCTATTTCATGTCACCTTTTAGGCCTGCCCATTAGAAACAACTACAATCCTGTCCTTAATACTTCATCGACAGCATTCGAAATTCTGAGATACAAAAAGCCCTGCGAATGGCGGATGTCAAGAATGTGAAAAGCCACGTAGTTTGAGACAGCCCAGCAAGAAAACTGTAGAGATCACCACCCAATCAGAGATGCTCAAGTCTAAGAGCCAGTGGATCAACTAACTGCTCGTCTAGACGATTTAATTAATCAAGCGGTGGGGAAGGCCACGTACGAAGCAACTGCAAAACATCCCAAAGCGCGGAAAATAAGACTGCTCCACAGCAAGGACGCAGAAAATAAATTAGTGGCCATCTCGCGACCAGATAGTAATTAGTGGCCAGATTATGAGAGGTCTCATTTTAAAGCGTTTCAAATATCTGCAATGAGTGGCGGCAGTAATGGACTCTTCATCATGGGACACATGAAGGGAGTTCCTTGCAGCATTAAAATCGGTAAAGAAGCCAATATTACCATAATAAGAAAAGATTTGATTTAACAACTGGAAGGTAAACTCTCATGCTCTTCAGTCTCTACTTCTGACATTTGGTTTGGTTTAGTTTATTATGGCAAAGCACGTTAGGGCTATCCGCCTAAGGGGAAGGATGCCTTCATGGAGGACTTTCTAAGGGAAACTGACTTGTATACACGGTACACATGGGGAAAACCACACAGACGCCCATGTCGCCAGCCCGTTCGCCTGGATTCGAAACCAGGTCTGAACTACCAGTGTTCAGCGATTTTACCCCTCGGCCACAAGCGGGCTTTCTTCTTCTGAGGAGAAGATACTCTAAGTGTGAGAGATGATACCGACGAAGCAGCGAGTCACAGTCGATGAACAAGCATGTTTTCAACTCATCAGTCATGGTTCCGCCTATCAAATGATTGTTGCTGAACTCACCTTCTATAAGATCTTTGCGAGACGGATGTCAATAGAGCTTGTTACAAAGCGCAATCACAAGACTATTGAGAGTATTAACTATTTGGTTTTTGAAGTGCTGGAACTTCCTGCCAAAACTGGTCTCTTCTTGACTTTAATTTGTGGACTGATCAAAGATGCTTTAGGAGGTCTTTGATTTTTTAAGAACAGAGAAATATAGAGAGCGGTGCATAAATAACTACACGACCAACCGAAAACCTTCTTGGAGAATACTCAAACTTGTGAATCTATAGACCAAGTGCATCATTCAGCAAAGTGACTATGCAGAAAAATAACGGATTTATCAACCCATACTTTTGCTTAAACAAACTGGTGCAACACGAGTGCGGATAATTTTTGATTTTTTTCGTATTTCACTATCCGATCGTGTTAGTCTCAAATAGACTTTTGAATGCAAAAGTGTTAGGCAACTTTTATGTGGACTCAAAGAAGCTAAAATTTTTCTATACGTATAAGCTGATCCGAAAATAAAGAGTGCAGCAAATACAGTAAATTCTTCAAGTAATAAACTACAATTATATGCTGAGATGTGAATAAATCCTTTCACGAGTTTCCGGGTTATACTAACTCGATCCTCATGAAGGAGTGCTAATAACTTCTGTTTTGAGGAGATGTAAAAAGAGGATTATAAAAATTACCTGCTTCTATTTAAATAAAAATTCTATATTTTGTATCATAATTATTGTACTTAATTTCATTCAGAGTCCTGCTGAAAACTCTTACACATGCCTCGCTTAGCCTACGTGCCATTAGATGGTAAAACCTGTTTTATACATTTAAACTAAGATTCAATTTATTGCATTTTAATTTTAAGCTTTCGTTCATTTTTCCCCTTTGGTGAGTACTTTTTCACCCTAGCAACAGCATGACTATACGTATAGCACAGCCGTTAACGAAATTGTCACTTAGATTATGTTGTAAAAGTAATTATGCAAAGTGTCAGATCAGAATATTTTTCTCAGTGTTTTTAATTAATATCTTTATTTTGTTCTTTGTAAAACTACTTAAAACTTTTTATCAAATTTTTATTACAATAACAATTTAAAAAAATAGCAATTAACTGAAAATGATAAAAGCAATCTAGAAAAAAATTTTAAGTACACAGATTTTTTTCAGAAGAAAATGTAATTTAGGGGGAAAAAAAGATAAACGTTTTTTTGCTTTCTTTCTGTGTTCATAATACTGCAACATGTTACTTTGTGGGATTTTATTATCGCTGTATGTCTCCCACAGATTTACCTGGTATATTTAGCTTCATTCCACAGGTTTTGGGGCTATGGGTCCTAGTAATTTTATGATTGATAATGATAGAATCCTACGTTGTATATTATATTATATACTAATGATAGAATTATGTAATAGGGATAAATCTAGTTGCAGCTTGTGGGTGCGTTTAACAGTTTCTTTTTTAAATTGTTAAAATATAAGATTTCAGTTATTTATTGCTTGCTAATTACTTTTAAATGCAATTTTAGATTACATGTTCTCAAGTTTAGCAAAGGATTGAGCTGATTTTGCTACAGAAAATAAAATTGAAAATAATTTTGTTATGAAAAAAGATATAATAAAATCTCAAACATGATTTATACAAATGTTTGAAATAAAATATTTATTGCACTATTCTTTAATTGATACATAAAAAAATGCAATTATAATAACTTTTTATGTAAAACGGAATTTCATTATTTACATATTCCTCTTTTATTCACTCTTTTCTTTGGTTTTCAAAACATTCTCTGCGCAGTACAATTTTACCAGTCCAGTAGCACCAAAACAGCAGAAACCAGCGGCTTCTGTGCCGTCTACTGAGCTCTCTACTCACTTAATAAGTATACCGTAGTAAAACGGTAACTTAAAGCTTTTGTTTCAGCGTACAATTTTGTACTTTCGAAAGAACTAAGAGTAAAAGTAGTTATTGCAAGAAAATGTCTTGTTAGGTATGTTAAGAAACTGAGGAAACAGAAATACCTATAATAAAGAAACTGAGAATTAATACGCACGTACTTATTTTTTTGTTAAAAAATATTGCGCTACACACACTTTTTAACCAATCAGCAGATAGAATGATAAATTGATTCATCGTCAGCGTAAGATGTTCCGTAGCCAGCATCTGAGTTAGTACGTCTTTGCACTTCCAATCTAGCTTTTTCAGCATCAATTAACATAACGGAATCTTTAGGCGCAGTGATTTTTAAAGTTAAACATTTTCTACCTTTAGATTTTGAGTAATAGGCTTTTAGAATGTCGAAAGGTAGTTTAGAAATTTTATCGCTGTTATCTGGAAATTCAAATTTCCTAGATTTACGGAACATCCAGAACTTCTTGGGAAACATATAACCACGATAGGTATATTTCAAGAAATCAATTAATTCAAGAGTAGGAAGGGCTGGTTTGATATCCTTGCACTTGTTTGGCTTCGATGTGTCAACGGGCGATTTAGCAAGTGAAGAACGAGTTATTTGCGATCTAGAGAGGGTGGAAAAAGATGTAAGCTTCTCTTTCTTCGGAAGGTCCTCTTCTTTCTTCTGCTTTGAAACCACATGATGGGCTACTCGAATCTGTTGTCTCCATCTATCTCCTTCAACTGTGCACACCTGGCACATGCGTTTAAATGTTTCTGATTTTTGCAGCAGTCTATCATCTGTAGCTTTAAGGAAAGCAAATTCTGAATTAGCGTTTATTTCTAAAAGGATTGGTTCATTGTTAACAAGAGCACATCCTAGTATAATGGTCTCGTGGCCCACATCTTCCAACTTAATAATGTTCGTGAATGGTAAAGATACGTGCGGTTTCGGTCCAGATACTATTCTAACGAAGCAGGGCAGTCTCGATACTTTTAGCAGATTTGATAAGAGGAATAAGTGATTGATGGAATGTGATTTAGGAGTGGCAATGCAGTAAAATCTTCCTTTAGCACTATAAGGTAGATATACCGTTTCTCCATGCTGAGTAAGGCATTTTAAATACATCATAAGATCATCATGGATATTTCCTTTGCTTGCCAATAACACATTTTGCCGATTTAGGTCTTCGTAAGGACCCATTGATTTTAATACATGGCCACCTGTAATCTGCAAGAAAAAAGATTTAAAATTAATGATTTTACATCAAATGCTATTTAGAAAAATTATTGACACATAATGTGGAGGGGGAAAGTGTAATCAATATTCAAAGGATTTTGCTACAGCTTAAATATTTTTCAAATAAATCTAGAAATTTATGCAGAAAATACAGCTACTAATTATACCTATGATCCTACCTTTTGTATCTTCCAATATACGTGTAAATCTTGCACAGAAATATTATTTCAAATGCATCTGTAAGCTGGAGTCAAGCAGACTAAAAGGTATATCATCTGATTAAGAAAAAAGAAACTTAATATGGGGAAAATTTCTAGAAAACTTTGAAATGGAGATTTGAAATGAAAACTGTAAATAAAGACAACCGTTTCTAGAGCAACGTTTTTTTTTTCATTTTTCCCTCAAGAAAACGCTGTAGTGGTTAGTTAACAACTGCAATCAATTCACTGAATATTTTGGAAAATTTTAAATGTCACATATAAATTAAATAAGGATCTAAGTTAAGCATAAGCAAAACAACAGTATTATTCATTTCAAGTGGTGACTGTATGGAGGCTGTAAATTTCTAAATATTGAAATCCTTTTGATTGCAGTGTTGTTTTCGTATAATTGTTGTAAAACAGTGCGCTGTTTTATATAATTATTTGTTTATTTATTGCTTTTGGGTGTGATAATTTTAGGGTTTATTTTAGTGTAATGAAATTTACAGCTATATGTTTTCGGCATAAGCCAGGCACAATTTAAAGAGAAATAAACGGATCACAACAGTATGTAGGCTGAGATGTAGTTTCTATATAATTGAATTTTCCGTTTGTAAAATGAAATAATTCAGCCAATACACTTACCGAGTACCGATTAAATGAACGAATTCGAAAAACCGAAGTATTGCGGCCTTTTTTTTGCTATATTTGTATTTCATCCATAAATTTACTTTTAAGCAATGTTCATTAGCTGAAATATTTAATAAATAAACACATAGCATCTTTTAATCAATTAAACTCTTTGCAACTAGATAAAAAAATTGAAAGTATAATCTAAATTTTTCAAGATATCCAGCGTCATGTGCAACTAGCGAAAACAGTTTAAGGATACCAGATCTGTACAAAGGAAGTTTGAGCATGATCTTCCAATAATCACGATGACCAATTAAGATCCTTATTCGTCCACTTCAGTGAGGAGTAACAGGAGTGCTACAGCTTTTCAGCTGTCTGACCTCCACGCAGACATAGGAAGACGAATTTCAAAGATTACTATTTCCAGAAGGTTACATAAAAGAAGTCTGCTTGCTAGAAAACCTGTTGTTTGTGGCCTGTATATACTTTTGCGCGCAATGGAGGCCGTTTAGCATGGTGTACATAACATCGAATTTGAATCACTAATATATGGGGAACCATTCGCTTCAAAAATGAGTTGCGATACAAACTAACCCCAAAGTCACGATGTAGCATCTAACCGAAGGGATCCCCAAACTTTTTCTTGAATCAACCTTTTTTAAAGGAAGGGTTGTCTTCATCGAACCCCTTACATATGCTTTGCAATATACAGTATATAAATAATTATGATACAAAAATTTGCACACATATAACTTAAAGGTAACAATTAGATTATGAATATGAGCAACAATTTTGAACAATATCATTTGTTACATTTACGTTTAATTATTGTTTTGCATTAATTATTATTTTCAATGTTACAAATATAAACACGTTTTCAGAAATAAAAATCACGGATAATAATTGCATAAATGTTCGATTTTAAATAATGGGAAGACCTCGTTTAATGTAGTGACCTGTTTATGTAGTAATTTGACTAAAGCCTGCTTCTACACATAAGAAGCGGGAAAACTCAATAACAATTCGGTAACAATTCTTATTTTGGGATATTTTTCTCAGATTACTTATACATTCTAAAAATTAGCGTACATATAGTGCTCTGAATAAGATTGTACGCGAACATCCCTCTATACCTTTCAATGCAGCCAGTTCAGCCGTTCTACATTCAAATTTTCAGCGTCTTGGAAAAAAGCATTAAGATCTTCATTTAAATTTTATAAGCAGCTTGTATATAACAATATATCTTCTGAGGAAGTTTTGTTTTCTGGGTATCGTTTTCGGATTTTTTTTTGTTTTTGTTTTGTTCTTCATGCGTCTTACTCTTCTATATTATACTTGTGCAATATATATGTATTTAAAAATGTTACTTATTTTTAAAACAAATTAAAATATTTTGTGTACTTTTTTCTTTATACTTATTTTATATGATTTTTTCCTTGCCACATGATATAGTTTTATATCTATAAAAATATTTATCCCTTGTGCAATATTAAAAATGTTTGTTTTCAATCAAAAGGACTGGTATGGCAGCGAAGATATAATGGTTTTAACAGGCATCACGTTGGACGCGGACACAAAACTTTGTATATTTGGCAGAGGCTTTGTGACTTTTTGCGAAGTTTCAATAAGATATCTTGGAGTTTTATGTTCACCTTATCCGTTGCGCTGTTGACTCTCAACAACACCGTTACTTCAGGAGTGGAACTAACAGCCACAAGGACGCTCAAATAGCTTATATCCAGTATGAAGTCATGTTGTGAGATTTGAATAATTGTTAGAGAGGACCGTTCCCCGTTATTACCCTTCCTTCTTGTCTGATACTTTGATACTTTAGTTGTATACTGGTTTGCAGCAGGAGAATGAGTTTCCTCCTCTTACCAGTTCCGTAGATAATCCCTTATGGGGCCGGACTATTGTAGAATCTTAAGTGATACTTTCTCGAAATGATGTATACATCATATGAGAAGAGAAATTGAAGCATCTTACTTCGATGATAAAAATGCCAAGACTGAGAATGCCGGAAAAAAGAGGTAAAATCCAAAGATGCTTGCTGGTCATGTAGTATAGTGCGACGAATCCGAACATGTGTGACATGAAGCTTGCCAACTACTTCATGTAATGAAAAATTGCCAACTACTTCAGAATGAAAAATGTAGGAAAAGGTAGAAATAAATAAATGTATTTAAAATATGTACAGGCATCAAAACTGTTCAGATTGAACAGGAATTTTTATGAAATTAGTTTCTATGCTGAATTATTGCCGGGAGGATTGCTTGGCCAATCAGCTACGTCCACTAAGTTCAGAGTCTTTCTTGTCTAACCTGGCAACCTCTCTTGTATACCTTCCGGCGCCGATGAGCCTTAAAAACACTGTTAAAGCCGCTGTAAAACAAACAAAAAATGCAAGTCGTTAGCGCTACCAAGTTACTATTTGCACTGTATTAAGAGCTGTATTTGGAGTGCTCAGTATGGCAACACTTTTTACTATGAAAAAGGTAGTTTTAAGCCTTTAGTCGTTCGATTGTTTAGACGCTTCATAGGAAAATGAATTTTGTAAAAGAATGAAAATAAATTTTAAAATTGCTTTTGGATTTAATAGTATATTACAAACCACTATGATACCACTTGAACATGTATGTCCGATAGTAGCCGAAGGAGCACCGGCTAAATAAGCTGTCGTTTCGAACTTTAAAGATATTAGTCTTAATTGTGTTTTAGCAATGTCAGCAAAATGGCTAATCAAGGCGATGAGTCCTTGCCTTTTGCAAGGAAAATTTTGTAATATTGTGAACTGATAAAAAACCAAAATTGCTTAATCGACGTCGTGGAAACTATAGAAATAGGATTACAAGAACTGGAAATTTTTTTGGAAGATTCAGCTTTGAATGTTGACAAGTTAGGCATTCAAATTAAATAAGATATGGTTTCAGACATATTAGCTCATATCGAATCACTGCAATTGGAATATTACAATGCTGTTGATGATGAAAATTTATCGAAGGTTTATTTAGAAATTGAAGAATTGGAAGAAATAAGGATAAGCTTCAAACACTATTATTAAAGTATAATTTAGTTCATAATGCCTTGGCAGATAAGACTGAGAATCCTAATTCTGTTTCCATTAAGTTGCTTGACACGTTTACCAGAATCTGACGGTTGTATTTAGAACTGGAGTAATTTAAAACAACAGTTTGATAGTTTGATAATAACTCCTCTTCAAGTGGTATTAAAAAATTGTTCTATTTGCGTTCTGCGTTGAAAGGAAAAGCAAAATCTATGGAAAAAGAGTCTTAGAAATTTAGTTGATGTTTGAACAAAATCCTAACAAATTTAAACTTAATGAAATTAGAAACTAATGAACTAATGCACCAATTCTTAATAAACATTGCATTTCAAAAGTTAGATAAAAAAACAAGAAAACAGTATGAAATGAGTTTAACGTCGACTGTATTACCCAATTTTGAAGAGTTCAAGGAAATTTTAGAAAACTTATCCCAAATGTTAGAAGATTTGCCTGGAGTTAATTATCGTCACAGAAAACTAAACATTCTTATCTAAACAAAACCAAAAATTTCGTATTAAAATCAAACAATTATTCATGCACAAATTGTTTAAGAGACAAATATAAGCTTACATTATGCAAATCGAAATATTCCCGTCACTTGTGCTAAGGAAAGCATAATTATCGATAGTGTCGGTTTGAAAATAATAGTCCTTTGTGCGGAAAACACTTCGTCAGTCCAGGATATCTTGCCAAGCACGCAGTCGGGAAGTCTTCCCTTTTCAGAAGCTGCAGCTGTTCATGATGCGCAAAGAATAAGCAATCGTAGCCCGCCAGAAGTAATAAACAATCCAAGCCTAAAGAAAGCGTTAAAGACTCTTACCTCAAGTAAAATATCAAACAAAACAGCTCTGCTTTCTAAAGCCATTGGTTTGGTCACCGATGCTGAATGATTATGCTAGCAGAAGAATGGTACTCGATAGTGTACCTCAGTCGGATTTTATGACCGTTGTTTAGCCCTTTGTTATGCCTTAGTTTTACTCATTACGTGCTCTACCTTAGGCACTACACGGAAAGGGAGGGATGCCTCGTGGTTTTTAGGGAAAAATGGCTCGTATCCCTGTTACACAGGGAAAAACCACGTAAACACCCACGCC